CTATTAAAAATGAAAAGAAAAAACAAGAATAACGCAAATTGTAACAATTTTTTCTTCTTTTTTTTTTTTTTTGAAAATTGAGCAACTAATCAAGTAAAGTAAAAACTAGTCGAATGATCAAACAAGTAAAAATAGTTAGGAAACCTTAATGATCGAATTGATCGAACAAATGAGATAAAACGGTTAAGAAGCCGCAACGATCGATTAACCAAAAGAATAAAATAAAACGGTTAAGAACTGCAATGATCTGATTAACTAAACGAATGAAACAAAATGGTTAAGAAACCACAACGATCGGATTAACAGAACGAATGAGATAAAACAGTTAAGAAACTGGAACAGTCGAATGACCGAACAAGTAAAGTGAAAACGGTTTTATAATCGCAACGGTCAAATTATCGAACAAGTAAAGTAAAAAACGTTTTATAATCGCAACGGTCGAATGACCGACAAGCAAAGTAAAAATGATTAAGAAATCACAACAATCAAATGACTGAACAGGTAAAATAAAAATGGTAAAAAGACGGTTTATAGCCGCAATGGTCAAATGACAGAACAAATAAAGGAAAAATGATTTTATAACCGCAATGGTCGAATGACCGAACAAATAAAGAAAAAATGGTTTTATAACCACAACAGTCAAATGACTGAACAAGTAAACTAAAAACAGTTTTATAATCGCAACAGTCAAATGACCAACAAGCAAAGTAAAAACAGTTTTATAATCGCAAGTTGAGTAGCAACGGTTGTATAACTGAGCTAGTTGAGTAGAAACAATTTTATAACCAAGTAAGAAATGGTTTTATAACAAAGTAAGAAACAATTTTATAACCAAGCAAGAAACAATTTTATAACCAAGCAAGAAACGATTTTATAACCAAGTAAGTTGAGTTGCAATAGTTAAACAACTGACCAAGTTGACTTGCCATGATCAAACGATCGAGCCGGTTGAGTAGCAATGATTATATAACCAAGCTAGTTGAGCAGAAATTGTTTTATAACCGAGTAAGAAACAGTTTTATAACTGAGCAAGAAACAGTTTTATAACCGCAATGGTCGAATGACCGAACAAGTTGATCTTAAATGAGTTGATCTTGATCTTGATCTTAAATAAGTTGATTTTGAATGAATTGATCTTAAACAATTTTATAACCATAATAGTCAAATGACCAAGTAAGTTGAGTAGCAACGAGGCCGAATGAGGGTAAACGTGACCAAGGGGCCGGATGAAGGTAATGTTTGAAAGATCTATAACAATGAAACATATGCAAGTGAGACAACTTTCACATAAAAGATAATGTAAAATGAAGAAAGGTTAAGAAACTTCTCTGAACATATGATGGATGCCCATGCTTGGCAAGAGTCAAATGTTCTTTGTGTCGTGTGCTCAACAATCTTGTGGTCATTTCTATGTAGCAGCTTGATAGATACATAGTCATGCATATCCTATTGAGTGCCAAGAGGTAGACTCCCCTTTGTTTCGGGTGAGAATATATTTGAAAATATTACCCAATAAGCTGAACTTTCATTTGTTATTGGAGCTTCAGCTAGCATGGATGACTCCTTGACTATCGAATTCAGCTTTTTTTCTCCCTGTAATTCTCATCCAACCTTTCAAATTCATCAAAAGATTTTGATTAGATAGACAATTATATTAACTGAAATGAATGCATCATATTCAACTAGTATTCCCAATATTGAATAAAAGGCAAGGTTAGAGTAAAATGCGAACAAAACAATAGCAAAGATTGATTCCATTAGATTCAAGAAAGCGTAGGATAATCAAATGGTCAACTTTCTTTAGTGACAAAAAGAAGTCTAGCTAGTAATACAAGATTTTGATGTAATTGGTTACAAGATATTCAGACCATAAATCATTCCTTCAGATCATCTTTTCTTTTGCAACTCTGCTCATCAGTCCTTTAGTCCATGAAAGAGAATTTCATTCCTTTTCTGAATGTTGACACTTCAAATCTTTCCACTTTTCATGAACTAACTCTCATGCTTAGAAGAAGGAAATTTCATTCCTTCTTTTTTTTTTTAATGTTAATGTATGCCTCTTGACATAGAAAGCTTCAAACCATCAAATAAGGACTTTACATAGGCTTGTAACATGGCTTGGGGTTAGGTTATGATGAAAGAACAAACAAAGGCTCGAAACCCAAATATCCCCCTCACATTTCTCTTTCCATTTTCCTGGTCATTAATGTGGGTTAATAGAAAAAAAAAAAAAATCATTCTGGCTTTTGTAAATTTGAATGATTACCTTTTTTTGGCTCAAAAAGGGTAAGCAATAGGGCAATGTTCAACTGTTTAGGATAGAAAAGCAAGGCCTTTCATCATTAGATCTCCAACTTTCTAAGTCAAGGAAACATTTAATTTGTTAGGCTGCCCTTTAAGGATTTCAACCTAACTCTTTTTTTTTTTTTAGCAATAATACTTTTTGACAACATCAGCATTAACTGGGTGATGATAATCAATCCCATCTAGATATCTCAAGAAGAGTGCTCCTTTGGAAAAAGCCTTTTTAACAACATAAGGTCCTTCATAATTTGGTGTGAATTTGCCCTTGGGGTCCATTTCTTTTGGCATGATCTTTCTTAAGACGAGATCTCCTTGATGAAACACTCTAGGTTTGACCTTCTTGTTGTAAGTAGTTGCCATTCGTCACTGATAGCATTGGCCATGACGAAGAGCTACCAATCTTTTCTCATCAAACAAGTTGAGACTATCAACCTTTTTTTTTTTTTTTTGAGTATTGATTTTTATCTCTTTTTTGTCATCTTCAGTGCCCCGATCAATGGTTTCTATCTCTTAATTTGGTTGCAGCTTTGATTTTTCCTCTTTTAGCATTTGAGTTAGTTCATGAAAGGGGTCAAGACTTTTCATTGTCTTCTTCATTATAGGTCTAATCATTCATCTCACATACAAAGTCTGATATGGTGTCATTGTTTAAAGATTCATCATTAACAGGCCTGAAATTTGGGATGGAAGTAAATAAATGGCTACATGATAATAAAGCAAAGATAAAAACCTGTTACTAAATAACCTCATAAAAAATGTGATTAAAGAGCAGCTTGTACAATGAAAGTTCAAGTAAAGTCGCATCATGATGATTTTTTACAATGATAGGTAGGATTGCAACATGTTTCATTGAAAAGGAAAGCATGGGAATACTAGAAGCATGATAACTTAAATTTCATAAAATATAAAAGTACTTGCTGAATCCCTCCCTTCATATAGTCACAAGTAGAACTACTAGAGGCTGACTCTTCTTATTCGGAGATGAAAATTGTAGGGAGAAGTTCCACTGTCCAATTAGCTTGAAAGCTTCCATTGACTAGTAAAACTCCCTTATCAAATTCCAGTTCTTCCTCATCTAGAGCATTTATAGTCAAATTTCCCCATGAGTCATATAGTGATTCTTCTTTCACTGATTTAAGAGTCACAGACTCATGCGAACCCATTGGAGCTTTAACATGATGAACAAGATGGAAGTTGGGATGCTTATCCATAGATGCCCTTTTAGCAAGTATCCTCCTTCACCTTTTTTTAGGATCTGTCATGTTGGCTGGCCCAAAGTGGTTGAAGCCAAAACTATCCTCCTCATCATCAGAACAGATCTCATCAGTGATATCTTCCACAACCACCTCCTTAAACTATGCTATGCATTTTTTCAGATACAAACTTTAAAGATCTCATTGCTTGTAGCTTCTTAACCTTTTTTTAAAAATCTTCACAATCTCGCAAAGCATGCCCCTTAATATTAGAGTGGTATGGGCACACCAAGGCATCATCAATCATCACAAGCATAACATTTAAGCTCATTTGCACAATCGATTGAATCAAATCATACTTTGTCAAAATGGCAAACAATTCATTAAGAGACCAAAAACTAGCATTCTCTAACACGGGCTTTTCAACTTCATCAAGGGCGACCATATTCATTGTGCCTGCATCATGAGGGGGTAAAGGATTTCGAGTGATGTTTTGGAGTACTCTTGGCTTCATTAACATTGAACTAAAGTTTACCTTCATCAATAAAATCTTGAATTTTTATTTTCAAAGTTGCACAGTATTCAATACCATGACCCACCACATTGTGATATTCGCACTTAGCATACAGATCATACCAGTATGGATAAGGTGGTTGAATAGAGTTTGCTTGCATTGTCTCCAATAAACCCACTACAACTAATTGTTTCAACGCCTCACCATAAGGGATTGGAAGCTTAATGAACTATCTTGACCTATTCGTAGATGGGAATTGCTGCCTCAACGAAGTGTGAGCATTAGAGTTTGGCCTCCTTTGAGAGTAAGCGGTAGGCAAAATAAGCTGGGGTGTATTGTAATTGAGGCTGGCGCTTATAAGGAACATTTGCCACATTATAAACTGGTTTCGCATGACAAGTGGAAATATGACTCAAAGCTTCTTCATCTTCTTTTCTTCCTCCGGCTGCAAACTTCTTTGAAGCAAATTCGGCACTGCCCATTTTTGACTTGTTCTAACTGTTTCTTGATGGCTTGAAAGTCCATTATTATGCCTGTCTTAAGTCCATCTTCAATTTGTTCACCCGCTGTCACTAGCTGAGCAAAAGTATATCCCACACAAGGAGCTAACCATGAACGAAAGGTCCCAGTAGTCGACTTGATAAAGAGAGTAGATTTCGCTGTCGGTGAGAGGTGGAATGACCTTAGCTGCTTTGGATCTCCATCATTGAGCAAATTCCTTAAAGGTCTCATTACTCTTCTTTGTAATTCTCTACAAGTTATCCCTTGTAGGGGCCAAACTGATGTTGTACTCATATTGCTTCATAAAAGCTTGAGAAACATCCTTGAAAGTGCAAATCTTCTTCTTATCAAGTGTTGAAAACCAAACACTTGTTGGGCCTAAGAGACTGTCTTGAAAATAATGAATAAGCACCCTCTCATCATTGGCATAAGGTGCCATCTTCCTAGCATACATCTGTAGGTGGGCATAAAGACACCCTGAACTGTCATACTTGTCAAAATTTGGCTACTTGAACTTGAAATTCAATTGGATTCCCAGATAGTAGCAAAGATCATCCAAATCAATAGAACCATAAGCTTGTGGCCCTTGCATAGCTTTCAAAGCCCCTTCCGACTATTGCAACTTGTGATCGACCTTTCTTGACTTCCCATCCTCCAAAGCAGGCCTTAATATCTCAACCAAGGGGTTGGGTTGAATAGCTGGCACTTGTCCCATCAAAGGTGGTATGTTAAGGGTAAGAGGTGTGGTTGTGGGCAAGGTGTGGTTGTGGGCAAGGTAGGGTTGTTCATCTTGAGTGGTGGGTATAAGGCTTCAAAGGGTAAAGATGATATTTGTGGAGCATGTGAAGATGATTCCCCCAGTAGAGGCTGATTCTCATAAATAAGTGGAAATTGCAATTATGTGACCATGGGATCCTTAGCACGATTACCCGATGTGATGGTAGATGATGGAATAGGGACAAGTGGAGCTAGTGTTGTGGGCACTAAGGATGTAGGTGAAGGAATCAAACCAGTAGTCAAAGTGGACAAAGTGAAACTGATAGTCTGAAGAGTAGCAACCATAGTTTGCATTGTAGCTTCCAACTTATCAACGCTCTCATCCACGGCTGATTTCTCTATATTAGTAAGGTATTTTCCTCAGACATTTTGATTACTTTAGATCCGAGCAAATAAGGGGAATGTTGCCTTTTGAAGATCTTTCGCTTTTAAGCTATGATTATAAGAACTTTTACCTATTAACAAAAAAATAAAACAAAAGGCACAAATTAGAAAATTGAAATGACTTTAGCCCCTTTTGATTGGACCATGAGTTTCCCCTTCAAAGTTCCATATGGATTCCCGCATCAACGTTTCCATCTTGTACGAAGATATCCACCCATTTTACAATGAGTTGTGCTAAAACATGGCTTTTCATTACTAAATAACCACACTTTAAACAAAGTTAGCAAGCAGTACAAAGTTGCATTCAAAGTGCTTGCAAGCTTCCTTCTTTTAAAGCTAAAACAAACCCATCACAGAACATAAATCCTAATATAGCCTTTTAAGCACATTAGACATGTCACTGATAAAGTTGAAGGCTGGTTGGAGAAATCCCCTCTCAATCAGATGGGTCCTTTGAGTAATGTGGTGATGAGTCTCGGCCATTTTTCCCACAAATTGAGTCACCAGAGTGGTTACATCAATGACAACTTCACGCAAGCCGGTGTCCTCTTCAACAAGAGCTTGGTTCTTTTACTTTTGAACTTGGAGTTGATAGCACATGTCCTCCATGGCAATCTTATAAAGATTACGGTTGATGGTCATGTCTTGTAGTTGCTCTTCCAATTGCTCATTGGCTTTGCAAAGGTGTTCATTGTCCTTAGTCAATTGATGTAGATAAAAGATGGTTTCTTCATTGAGCCTTTGAGTTTGGGTAGAAAACTCCAACAAAGTCTTGTGTGAAGAAGCTTGTGTCTTGGACATGTGAGAATCCATATTTCTTTTCAGAGGTCACAGATGGTTCAAACAAAAGGGCTTGAGAACTAAACACAAAATGACCAAATAAAGATCTTAATAAAAGAATAATCAAAGATTGTAGCTAGTGACATGTATGATCAAATAAAATGCAAATGTGATATGAGGCTTGAGAATTAAAATTTCTATCCTAATCATGGATTTTACTTCATTGGATATACTTTTGACAAGGAAGAAAAATTGTATTCGTTCAAGCAAGTTTTCATTGACAAATCTAAATTTCCGATGTTTGTACAATAGCTCCCAAGTAACCCATCTTTCCCCAAGCTCTTCAAGTTGTGTCTTCCTTCTCCCCTTGCTTTGACTGCTTTGCCGTTCGTAATTCCTTTTGTAGAGCATCATAATCAGACAATAAGTTGTTGTAAGCATTCCTCCACTTAATCACTTTTCCTTTCAACTCTTGCTGTTTAATCACTTTTTCCACAAGCTCTTTGTTCTCTTTTTCTCTTGCCTTAAGATCCGCCTTTACTCGTAACAGCTTTTTCCTTTGTTCTTTGGCAAACTCCAAGCTCCTCTTTTGCTTCCCACAAATTTCCTTACTAGCAACCAAATCCTTTTCTAAAGAGGCAATCTTGTCTTTCAACCCTGCCACTTGCTGATCGGACAACTCCTTCCCTTTTTTAAGCAATTCATGATCAAGAGCTAACTCATCATACTTCTCTAGCAACTAACATCTTTGAGCATGGCTAAGCTCCAACTTAGCGGCTAAGTCCATGATAGTAGAGTTTTTTGTATTTGTCACCTCCCATGGTAAAGAGAGCTTAGCTCTCCATCTCAATCTCCATTGCTCATATTGTGGTCTAGTCCCTTTCTCTTTCCATATAGGTAGCATCCTACATTTCTCCCACATCTCATGTGCTTCGGATGCCTTGTCAACAATTGCTGGGGAAGACATGTAATCAAAGTTTGACTGTAATGTCTCACCAAGATAGGGAACACTTTGTGCTTTTGCAAACTGATGAGATGCCAACTCCACTAAATATGTAACCCCTCCATGAATACCCAACAAAGGAATAGAGTGATGTCCTTCAGGTGGAGCAAGATAATGAGTAGCATTCCAAGTCAGGAGAACAAATCCAACATCATTAATAGTTGCTACTAGAAGTGATTAATGCCAATCCTCCGTCTTTCTATCTTTCATAGGAACGCTGAATAAAGCTTCAAATTGAGGACCCCTCAAGTGACCATGTGCCCATGCAATGAACAGCTCGATGCAACATGAGAAGTGGCTAGATCTTTTAGCCCGAATTCTTTCATAGACCACAAAATTTCAACTATCACGGTAGAAGCAGGATTAAATACCAAAGTGTGCAACAATTGCTCAAACAAAGCTATCACCATAGGTACAATGGTCTTGACATAGATAGGGAAGATCATCATGCCATAAATTCCCAATGCCACAAAGTTGATCCTTTGAGAAGATGTCATGCCTTTCAATCTCTTTCCCAAAGCCATTAACGCCGTATTCCAATTGAACCCATAAGAATCATCTCTAGTTGTCACCAATGATTGTGATAATTCAAATGAAAAACTCCACATAGCTTGCAACATTTCTTGAACTTTTTCTAGTGTGAACTTCATATGTTGTGCTTGAGGAGTGAAGGTACAAGAATCCATCGCAGGACTACACTGTAGGAAGTGATGATACTCATCAATGGTGGGCACCAACTCAAACTATGGGAACACAAAAGCTTGATATTGAGGGACATAGAATTTCAACATAGCTCGAAACAAGTTCCAATCCGAGACCATTGACAATAGATCCCCGATGCACCCAAATTAGACCTCAAAGTCATGCTTCTCTCTAGAGGACAACAAGCCATAAGCCTCTTTCAATAGCTTCAAGTTAGGTTTGGAGGTATAGATTGAAAAGATTGACTCCTTAGCCTTCTTAGTAGTAGAATGAGATGTGACATCTTCCCCAAGTCTTTTCCCTTGTTTAGTTGTATCCTCAGTAAAATCCATGTCTAATGCATGATCTTACCTAAACACAAGGCTTAAAAAAGTTAAACATAAATCATGCCCTCACATGCCATACCTCATTAAGTGTGCAAAAATAAGCTGCCATATAAGCAAACGAAGGTTAGGGAAGTAAAATGCCCTTTTTGTGCCTTAAACACAGGACGCTTAGCCTCACAGGTGGGATGCTAAGGGAAACATGTCCTAGGGTTGGTATCTCTCTCAAGCCAATACATGTTTTCCTAAAGGGCATTAGGCCTTCTCAACCATTTATTCTTTCGAAGTCAACGGGAGATATTTCCAAAAGCTAATACACAGGATGATATTACATCATCAAGAGTCATATTATCCAATGAAAACAACCTAACAGGAATCAATGTTACTCCTCAAAGCGGGAAGAATTGCTCTTCCAAGCCAGATTCATAAGGATTCCAGACTATAGGCCGGGTTCACCTCTGACACGGACCTAATGCAAAATGAGAGTAAATGTGTGCAAGGGGCATAACATTGCAATAACCTACACAATGGCAACCACAAAAATAGCAACATTTATCCCACGACAAACAAATAAAGCAAACAAGCGAATAAAACATGTAAAGCACCCAATAGATATAGCATCCACAAACAAACCTACTTACACAGCAAGAAGGGACTCACCTAATACTTCCATGCCAAATGCAAAAGGTTAGTAACACAAAGTAAGCAACACTTAGCATGCAACAAGATATAAATAATCGCACAAGAGGGAAGAGACTCATTAAGTACTCCAAGCCAAGTGTAAAAGGTGAGTATATTCACACACAAGCAAGCAAGCATGTAAGCATGATGCATGATGAATGAGTATGCAACATCAATGATGCATGAGCATGTGAGATGAAACGATGCATGAACATGTGAGCAAGATTTGATGCATGTCAAGATATAGTAAGATAACTATTCAAAAACAAAACAATAGAAGCAAACACCAAAGCAACAAGCCAACAAGCAACAAGCACATGCAACAAGCAACAAGGACAAGCAAAGACTCAACAAGAAAGGAAAATCAAAAGCTGAAAACTCCCCAAAGTTAAAGCATTAGCTCGACCCTCGTGAATCCAAAATATGGAAACCAGAGATTCTAGGTTCGGTCCCCAATGGAGTCGCCAATCTGTTGACAACCACCACAAACTTAAAGGATTTTCAAAATGATGAAATACATTACATTAAGTGTGAAATGTATAAGAAAAAGGAGTCGCCACTTGTCCAAATTATAAGGTGGGACGAGTCACCTAAAATAGGTTTGCGCATAGATCGGGGTTTGAGGGTTCGATTAGGAGTGAGGAAGGGTATACACGCACCTCACAATCCTCCATTTAAACACGGTTGCATACTTTAACTTTGGGTTTTTAATTCAACTTATTTATTATCTTTATATTTCAGTCTTAATAAGTAAACTTGAAAATAGATGGACCAAATTATAACATTTTAAGACTTTTGGACTAAAATGAACAAAACCAAGAACATGCGTACACAATAAACATAAATAAAAGTTAAGGGACTGATTTGATTAAGTTCGAAACATGAAGGATTGATTTGGAGAGATTTGAAATCTTTGAGCTAAATTACTTGATCACGAAAAGTTTTGGGTGGAATTGAAATAAAAGGAGGATAATTTTGACTTTGACCAAGATTAAAGTTAATTAAAAATTAAAATTAATTAATCAAGATAATTAATTTAATTAAATAATTAATTTAATATTAATTAAAATTAATTAATCATATTTACTAATCATTAACTGAGATAACTAAATAAATCTAATTATCTCAAATTAAATTTAATAAATATGATTAATTTATTTTAATTAAGATTAACTATCCTCATTAATTATAAATCAAACTAACTCACCTAATTAATTAATAAAACTTCTCATATGTATATATTTTTTTACTTTTTACCCTTTTTTTAGTTTTTTTTTTTTTTATTGGGTTGAGTCGGGTCATGCTAGCCCACGAACACAAACCGTTCATCCAAACCTTGCAAAAATAGATCAAACACCGCACAAAAAAAAAAAAAAAGAATCTAGAGAGAAACGAAATTGAAATTTTGGATTCATCTTATTTTAAGTAAAAGAAGAACATTCATCGAGCAATAAACAGGACAATCCTTGATTTTTTCCTTTTTTTCATTTTTCGTTTCCAAGAAAAAACATACATAAACTTAACATCATATCTAAATAAAAGAACATGAAAACATCAACAGAGAAGGTAAAAACAAAGCAAACACGGTGGATTTTTTAGAGGAAGACAGATCTAGATTTGATGGAAGGAATCTCACCCACGGGATCAAGCTTCCACCATTTCCTTCTCCATTTTCCCACAAAAAAATCCTCTGTTCCAGAATTGTACCTATTGACAATGAAGACCCAAAAAAATGGAGCTCCCAATCCACCTCACTATTTTTGACACTGTTGCTCTTCCCAAACAGAATTTCTTCTGCCTCAGACCTCTTCTCTTTCGGACTTCTCTCTTCTGTTTCTTTCTTTTTCTTTTTCTTTTTTTTTCATCGTGATGAGAAGAAGAAGAAAAACTCCGAAAAGAAAAACCCAAAAAAAGAACCCTCCTCCAAAAATTCTCCAGAATTCTCTAGAACCTCAAAAACAAAAACCATTCTCTCCAAAACTAGATCTCTTTTTTTCTTTTCGAACTTCTCCCTCTTTCTCTACCGCTCTCGAAAACCCAGTCGAAGACTCCCAAAATCAGCCAAAAGAAAGAAAAAGGACCCCCCTTGATCTGATTTTTTTTCTATATATATACCCAAATAATAAAACAAAATAAAAATAAAATAAAAACTTCCTCCAACAATCACTGATGTAGTCGATTTTATCTGGTATGCGTTGTTTTTTTCTGTAGGTGAGGCAAGAACAGGACTATCGCAAGCGAGAGTGCAGAGGGACAGGACAGGATTGGGGGCACAAATGTAGGAGGCGTAGCAGGGCAGAGGGGCGCAGGCTCGGTGTAGCAGCAGAGGTATAGAGGGTTGTAAAAGAGGGGGGCGGGCTCGGTGCAAAAGAGGGGGGTGCAAGAGGTGTGCATGGGGCATAGGAGTACAGGAAGTAGGGGCGTAGGCGTGCAGAAGGGTATGATTGTTGGAAGTAGAGGCGTAGGCGTGTAGAAGGGTATAATTGCCGATGATGGCTAGCGATTGTGGCTGCCGGCTGGTTTGGGTAGGAAGCTGGTTCGGGAGAGAGAAAAGTAAGGATTGACGAGGAAGGGGAAGGTTCAAGATGCCTTCCCCTTTTTTTTTTTTTATGGTTTTTGGGTTTTGGATTTTTTGTGGGTTTTGGTTTTGGGTAATTGATGGGCTTTAGCTTCAATGCATTTCACCCTTCAACTTTTCATCCCTTCAATTAAGTCCCTCATCTTAATTTCCTTCATCTCCCTTTTCCAATTTTCTTTGCAAAAATCCCCCTTTTTGCGAACAAACCCTACAAGGAAGTAAAAACAAAATATATTAGTTAAAATAAAAAAAATAAAATAAAATGAAACTAAAATAAAATTCT